TGTTATCAGGAGGGGCCTGTCCCTGGAAAAGGCCTTCATCCTGACAAAGAGGAAGCCTCTCAACGAGATGGATTGACACGGTGGTTACAAGAATGAGCTGAAAAGGGAAAAGTTGTGAGGACGGTACGGGACCCGACAGTGTTCAGTTCTGTTGTACATAAGAGTCACTATGGGTCGGAATGAACGCCGTGGCACCTAACCACACAACAAAACTTTAAAAAATGAAATCTCTTAGCCAAACAAGCACGGTAATTGGTCTGCATCCCTTGGCTAGCCAGGGGAGGTTAAATCAAGAAGGAAGGAGCTTCGAGCTCCGAGGGAAAATGGGCGGAGCAATGCAAGGAGGGGGTGGAGCTAGGGGAAGAACCAGAGGCTTTCGATCTCATCACCCTGGGTGCGAGCGGCAACCACCGTCCCGGGCCAAGTGGAAGCTGACGGAGGACAGGAGGGGCGGCCACTCACTCACCTGGTTGGTGACCTGAAACGGAAGCAGAAAACACAATTCAAGGAAACACTTCAAGATCTGGGGTTCACATACCTCTGCACCTCCCAGCCCGGGCTTACCCCGGATTTGGCATCCAGCTGCGGCTCGCTGGACCCTTCCATCGCTAGCGACCAAGCCCCTGTGCGCGGATTCAAACGGACGCTCACCCAGCAGCCAACACTTCCGCTTGCGCTTCCCACTTCCGGCCCTCGCCGCTCGGCGCGCTCAACGGACGGTGGGGGGGACTTGGAACAAACAACTCTGGGTTACCCTTATGTCTCACTTACGCATCAATTTTAGGACGATGTTGAGAAAAAATGAGATCAGTATGAGGTACGAAGGTCAAAGGTTAGGAGGTACTGTATGAAAGTAAGGGACTTTATTAGACTCTAGGATGCCGTCCCCCCCCACCGGCTCACGATGTCGACGTGGACTCGCCCAATGTCGAGAGCACTGGCTCTGCGCATGCGTGAGCGTGTGGCTGCAGCTAGGGCTCTGGAGCTTGAAAGCAAAGAACAGTTACACGCCCCTTTCCAGGGGTTTTGGGGCAAGTACAGTTAAGAGGATTAATCTTCGCCACTTTGACCTATTTTTGTCTTACCTCCTATTGACATCACAGTCACTCTACAGTGCTTCGCCCTGCCAATTTTAAATTTTGAAACACCTAAGATGTTTCAGAAATTTGCAAAAGCGTTGCAGTGAGTACTCGTATACCCATCATCTAGATTCAAGTTATGAACGTTGTACGCATTGATTCTGACTCACAGCAGCTCTGTATCGACACCTGTACCACTTAAGCACTCACCTTCAACTCAAGCTCACAAGTCCATTCTGACAGCGACCCTAGAGGACAGACCTTAATTGCCCCTTTGGGTTTCTGAGATTTTAAATCTTGACAGGAGAGGCCAGACTCATTTCTTCAACTAACCGGCTGGTGAGCTCGAACCCTCTGCTTCTGTGCTTAGCAGAAACAGGTGTCATCTGCTAGCCAATTCCGACTCAGAGCGACCTTCTAGGACAGAATAGAACCGCCCCTGTGTGTTTCAGAGACTGTAATGTTTCCGGCATTAGAAAGCTTCATCTTTCTTCCAAGCAGTGGCTGGTGGGTTTGAACTGGTGATCTTGTAGTTAGCAGCCCAACGGGTAACCACTGTGCCACCATAAGTCTTTAAACATATACTAGAGGACTTTAAAAACTTCCAGTACC